ACAAATTCTGGAACTGGATATGTCCCAAAAGAACTGCGAACTTACCAAAGATATCTTCTGGACTTGCTCTGAGGGTCTTCTGGGAAGTCCTGGGCAGGTCCTGATTTGATCTAGAAGTCGTTTGAACTTAGCAAAGACATCTTCTGGGCTTGTTCTGAGAGTCTTCTCCACTTGCCTTGAAAGTCCACTGCACTTGCTCTGCTTTAGATTGTTAACAAGACTGGCTTGGACTTGAAAGTTCTCTAGGTCTGAAAATCGTTAGTATTTCGACATCTGGATTACTCCAACAGTGTAACGTACTTTCCTTAAACGAATCTGTATTTCTTAGACGACTTCTGGATAGCTCAGAAAGCGACAATTCAGCGGATTTCAACCTTCTGTCGTTTGAAGATTTCTGCTCTGAATTTATTCTCAAGTGGCCATGGCAGTTCTCGGAACTCTTGATTAACCCAGAAAGTAATCCGGACTTAGCACTGAATGTAATTTTGAAGTTTGTCATGAATTCTGGAACTGGATGTGTCCTAAAAGACCCTAGGCCTGTTCAGGAAGTCCTCTTGATTTGATCTAGAAGTTGTTTGAACTTGCCAAAGACATCTTCTGGACTTGCCAAGGAAATCTTCTGAGCTTGCCTTGAAAGTCCTGTAGGTCTGAACATCATCAGTATTTAGACATCTGGATTATTCCAACAATCATCCGTAATTTTCTTAAAAATTTCTTCATGTCTCAGAGGGCTTCTGGATTTGCTCACAGAGTGACAATTTAGCGAATTTCAACCTTCTGTTCTTTTGAAGACTTCTGCTCTGGATTTATTCTCAAGGAGCCATGACAGTTATCTGAGCTTACGTAGGATGTGCTCTTGACTCACCCAGAAAGTAGTCCGGACTTAGCACTGAATGTGATTTTGAAGTTTGTTACGAATTCTGGAACTGGATGTGTCCTAAAATACCCTAGACCTGCCCAGGAAGTCCTCTCGATTTGATCTAGAAGTCGTTTGAACTTGCCAAAGACATCTTCTGGACTTGCTCTGAGAGTCTTCCGTGCTTGCCTTGAAGTCCACTGAATTTGCTCTGCTTTAGGTTGTTAACTAGACTGGTTTGAAAACTTGCCCAGGAAGTCCTCTAAGCTTGCCTTGAAAGTCTTCTAGGTCTCAAAATCATCAGTATTTAGATTCCAACAGTCGTACGTCCTTTCCTTAAAGGTATCTGTATTTCTTAGAGGACTGCTGGATTAGCTCACAGGAGTTACAATTCAGCGGATTTCAACCTTCTGTCCCTTTGAAGGCTTCTGTTCGGGATTCTCAAGAAGCCATGGCAGTTCTTTGAGCTTACGAAGGAAGTCCTAAGATGTTTCTCACGAATTCTGGAACTGGAGTGTCCTAAAACACCCAGGAAGTCATCTTGATTGTATCTAGAAGTCGTTTGAACTTGCCAAAGGCATCTTCTGGACTTGCTCTGAGAGTCTTCTCCGCTTCTCTTGAAAGTCCACTGAATTTGCTCTGCTTTAGATTGTTAACTAGACTGGTTTGGGAACTTACCCAAGAAGTCCTCTGAGCTTGTCTCGAAAGTCTTCTAGGTCGCAAAATCATCAGTATTTAGAATCCAACAGTCTTACGTACTTTCCTCAAAGGTATATGTACTTCTCAGAGGACTGCTGGATTAGCTCACAGAGTGACAATTCAACGAATTTCAATCTTCTGTCCCTTTGAAGGCTTCTGCTCTGGATTCTCAAGAAGCCATGGCAGTTCTTTGAGCTTACGAAGGAAGTCAAACATTTTTCTGAATCATCCAGGATGTGGTTTTGACTCACCCAGAAAGTACTAGAGACTTAGCATTGAATGTGCTTTTGAAGTTTGTCACGAATTCTGGAACTGGAGTGTCCTAAAAGACCCAGGAAGTCCTCTTGATTTGATCTATAAGTCGTTTGAACTTAGCCAAAGGCATCTTCTGGACTTGCTCTGAGAGTCTTCTCCGCTTGCCTTGAAAGACCACTGAACTTGCTCTGCTTGAGGTTGTCAACTAGATTGGCTTGGAAGTCATCTGAGCTTTCATTGAAAGTCCTCTTGGTCTGAAAATCGTCAGTATTTAGACATCTGGATTATTCTGAGCGGACTTCTGAATTTACTCACATAGTAGCAAGCCGTACGTAGGAAGCCCTAAGAACTTGCCCAAAAAATCATATAGGCTCTTCCAGGATGAGCACTTGACTCACCCAGAAAGTGCTCTAGACTTAGCAGTGAATGGTCTTTCGAACTTTCCTAGTAATTCTGCCATTAGATGCGTCCAAAAACGACCCTTTTGATTTGTTTGTCCAGATGTCACCTAAACTTCCCAAAAACATCTTCTGAACTTGCTTTGAGAGTCTTCTCAGCTTGCCATGAAATTCCACTAGATTCGCTAGACTGCCCTGGAAATCTTCTGAGCTAGCCTTGAAAGTCCTCTAGGTCTAAAAATCTTCAGAACTTACGCTTCTGAAAGACATCTAACAGTCTTACGGATTTGCTATAAAGGTTTTCCTGAGCAATTCTGACTTTTTCTACACACTTCTGGATTTGCTCAGAAAGCTTCTGGGCTTACTCTGACATCTGGATTTTCATCCTCAGAACTTTCCCAGAAACGTCTTCTGGACTTGTCATGGAAGGTTAATGGACCTGCCTACTTAGTTTGACCAAGGGACTATTCAATAGAATTTGTCTTCTGGAACTTTCTCCGAGAGTCTTCTCAGCTGGCCTTGAAATTAAATTAGATTCGCTAGACTGCCCTGGACTCGCCATGTCCTGAAAATCCTCAGAGCATGCCTTGAAAGTCCTCTAGGTTTAAAAATCTAAAAACTCATCTAGGTTAGAGAGGAGCGGATTCAAAACAAACTGCCTTAGCAACCTATGCCTAGGTGACTTCCAGCAACACTGCCAATGCAATCAAGATAGGCCGCTGCTCGATTGGCTCTGGCTTTGACAGTTCGTTTGGCTCCAAACCAACCAGTCCGCTTCTCTCTTATACTAGACCCTCTCAAACCCAGATGAGTTTTTAGATGTTTAGACCTAGAGGACTTTCAAAGCATGCTCTGATGATTTTCAGGGCATGGCGAGACCAGGGCAGTCTAGCGAATCTAATTTAATTTCAAGGCAAGCTGAGCGTTTTTAGGCTGCTGAAAGACATCTGAACTATACTAACAGTCTTACGGAATTGCCCTAAAGGTTTCCCTGAGCAATTCTGAGTTTTTCTACTTTGACAGTCATCTGGATTTTCACAAGAAGCATCATAACTTGTCATGGAAGAAGATGCATGGACCTACCTAGGGTGCATACTTCGTTTGATCAAGGATAATTCAATGGAATTTGTCTCCTGAACTTGCTCCGAGAGTCATCTCAACTTGCCTTGAAAGTCCTCTAGGTCTGAACATCGTCAGGACTTACGCTACTAAAAGACATCTGGACTGTACTAACAGTCTTACGGAATTGCCTGAGCAATTCTGAATTTTTCTATAGACTACTGGCTTTGCTTAAAAAGTTTCTGGATCTACTCTGATAGTCATCTGGATTTGCATTGAAAAAAAGTCTTCTGGACTTGTCAAAGAACGTTGATGGACCTGCCTAGGACACCACTTAGTTTGGCCAAGGGACAATTAAGTGAAATTTGTCTTCAGAACTTGCTCCGAGAGTCATTTCAACTTGCCTTGAAAGTCCTCTAGGTTCACTAGATTGGTCTAGATTTGCCCAGGAGGTCTTCTGATCTTGCCTTGAAAGTCCTCTAGGTCTGAACATCTTCAGTACCCTGACCCTGGATTATTCTAACAGTCTCACGTAATTTCAGATTTCCAGGAGATCAATTTGTCCTAAAAAAAATCCTGGACTTGTCCAGGAAGTCCTCCCGATTTATTTGTCTCGAAGTTGTCGAAATTTGCTCTGAGAGCCCTTGAAAGTATATTAAACTTGCTCTGGTTCAGGAGGGCTCAATGAATAAGATTTTTCGAACACAGAATAGAAGTGATAACCTGAGTGGCGTGGAGTCACTCGAAATGGTCGTCAAGAAAAATCCAACCATAAGGACCAACACCAAGGCTTACGTCCCTTAAACAGATTCGTTCGAAAGATAAAGTATTGGGATCAACACTCACCATGTCATCCTTGAAGTAAATTGTAAAGAATTAAAACAAGTTTATCACAGGCTGACCAAATTTTACGACTAATCACTAATGATGGTCAACGCAGAAAACTATAACTTCAAAATAAACGGGTCTGAGCGAAAGCAGCAAAAGCATATTCGACCGTTTGACTTGATGTTGATCCGTTTCCTACTTGATAACCAGTTGAAAGCTTGTTCCGAACTAGACAAATCGGATCAAGCAATTGTTAACGAATATTGAGAAAGTCACGAACGAGTTCTCATTTTTGCGCTGGATAAGTTGCTCAAATTTGTGAGCGGTGTTGAGAGGATGCCTACTTTTTTACACATGGGACTGATCTGCGATTATAGGTAGTAAACAACGGCTAACAACTTCAAAATTGAAAACGACCGACTCCGCACCACTCAGGTGATAACCATTCATCGTTGCAAGTTAATTGCAGATCAGCTTGATGGAGCAGCTAGACTACAACAAGATTCAACAGAACCAGTCAGTTTATCTACTTTGCATAATTGCCCCTTCAAGAGCCGGCGAAGACATCCATTCAAAGCGAAATGTAGATCAACTTTAATTATAAAATTTATATCGGTTGTGAAGCATGAAAATTACCCAAATTTTACATCGCTACAGAAAATTATATTAATTTCAAGAATACTGTAATTTTACACGTGAAACAACTTCTCTACAAGTTGTACATTAACAAAAAAAAAAGCTACGTTCACCGAATATCTTACCGACACAGACAACAGGTACCTTCAAAATTTTGAAACACTTAGTCCACGAACAAAAACTAGCTCCTCCTTTTTCGTAGAAATCCCTTCTTCCTACTACCCAAAAAAATCAAATCTTCTTACCACACACGTACCGCCATCGCCCAATTAGTCCAAATCCTTACATCCCTTCTCGTCACCCCCGCAAACCCCTTGCTGCGGCACCGCCCCGGCACCGCAAGCCGCCCCCAACATTCTCGCCCCACCACCTTGATGCTGTTGCTGCTGCTGCTGCTGCTGACACTGCACTCCATTGTGGCCACCGCCGATCTTGTTCGACGAGTAGTAATCGTGCGTTCCTCCCACGGTATGTCGCCGCCGGATCGAACGGTTGCCCATCTGCCTTCGCGTGCGTCCACCACCGCCGCCGCCAGCACTGGGCACGGTCGGATTCGCCGCGGCCGTCGGCGTCAGGATGATCTGCGGCCCTTGCTGTGCCGCACAACATCCGCTGCTATCGGTGGCCATCGGTGCCACCGCCGCAGGGACCGTCTGGCTAATGTCGTGGATCTGCCGTCGCCGATTGATGTTCTTGTCCGTCTTCTCGTCCTTGGTCAGCATCAGCCTCGATCGCATGTTCAAACTGTTGTTCACACTCACGCTAATGTTGTTGTTGTTCTGGTTCTGGTGGCCGTGCAGATTGTTGTTGTTGTTGTTGTTGCAGCACTGAATCATCGGAATGGTGGTCGCTCCGGGAGCCGCCGGGGTCACCGCGTGACCACAGCAGCACTCCAGATTCTTGTGGTTTTTGTAGTTCAGCGAAAGCGATCGGTTCAGATTGAACTTCCTCTCCAGATTGTTGGCCTTCCGCTCCAGGTTGGTCAGAATGCGGTTCATCTTCTTCAGCACTTCCGTATCGATGCGGTAGGTGGCGGTCAGCTTCTCCCGCGGATTGCTCGTCGTCGACGTGTCCGTATCGTCCGAGCTGATCGAGATGTTGTTCACCTTGTCCTCGTCGTCATCGTCTTCGACGCTTTCGTTGACCAACGTCACGCAGCTATCGTTCGAGTTGGTCGTCGTCCCACCGCTGTCGATCGATTTCTGCGACTGGGCCGACTTTACCGAGTCGTCCGCGTTGCCACCCGCGCTGCTACTGTTGGTGGTGTTGTTATTGACCAGGTTGCTGTTGCTCGTGCTGTCCGCCGGAGACTTCGGAAAGTTTCCTGTATCGAAAGGATAAGATTCGTACTGAGACCATCCTATGGAAATCGGATCACCCTTACCGTTGCTGTTGTTATGCTGCCGCAGTGGCTTCGAGCGGGGTTGGATGAGCGGCCGTTCCGGGGACTCGTCCGCGTATGGAATGTTTTCACCGAGGGTGAGGGGCCGCGAATGGTGCACCGATCGGCGGGTTGGTGTCGAGTTGGTACCTGCACCATCACCACCCAGGGAGGCACTGTAGCAACTGCTACTGTTGTCGCTTTCCAGCGTCGTGTCCACCACGTCCCGATCGGAGTCGATCGAGGAGTTTCGCAGCGAACGCAGCTTGTTGTCCAGAGTGATCGTGATCGTCTTCAGGGACATCGAACCTGGAAGAAGTGTGGAATAAGATGTGCGTTAATGGGGTTGGTAGGTAGGTTCCAGAATGTGAAGGTTGCCAGGCTGTTAGATAAGCTGCAGAATTGTTCAAGTCACACGAAGACGAAGGTTTTGCGTAAGTCCTGCTGGTATGGTAGTTTAGATGGCATAACGAAAGGAGATGATGACTGCATGATATATTAGGAAGATATGTATGGTGATCGTCTTTGATAATGTAACCAGTAACTGCACATTCCTTCGCTAGCTTATGAAATCAAGCATGAGGTGGACGGAATTCTCTAACTATAATCATTGTAGGAGTTCCCGAGAGCTATCTGAAATTGATGCATTAACCCTCGGGAAGTTGATCCATAAGATCACTCGAATGAAACGTCAATTACTGGAGGGTTATAAGCCCCAGTGATGGGCAGTTGAACCGACCCTTCAATATCGTTATTTTCGGAATCGGGATGCCGTCTAGACACCGAAAATCGGGTTAAGAATTTTAGTTCAAGAACTCGCATGGGGTCACCCCCGATGCATGCGAAAGTACACGCATTTGATTGTTTAGCTCAAGTCCGTCAAGCTTAGTTAGTTTTTTGGGCATAATGGGTCGTCACACAATGGGTTAGACAATGGGAAAAAAAATCGCACACTGACACACACACAAATCGTCCTTAATTCAAACTCAAAGAAACGATCGGTTATCGGAAATGGGAAATTGCAGAAGAGGCTCACGGCGGGAAGGTTTAGGGGGAATTGCGCACAGCCAATAGAACAGGGACAATCACTCCATTAACGCAGCGGGATGTGGTACCTTTAGGGTGGAGGTCGTCGAACGGAGAAGCGTCCTGGTTTCTGGAGGTCAGATCGACGAAGTTTGTGCGAGTGATTGTTCTAATGAATAAGCATATTTCATCAAACTTTCTTCCATCGAACGAAAGAAAGTTGAGAAACGTGACTACTAGGAGGAATACTGAGAATTACGAATCTCACGAGTAATACCATGGGTAAAATCTTCGATATACTGAAATGAGGTCATTATGCAGATACAACGGTTGATCGGTTGAAGATCCCAGCACTACTCACCATTGTCGGCAAAGGCGCTGTCGTTGGAGTCCTCCTCGGACGATCGGTTTAATACTGATGAGTTGTCGTCGTTGCTCTGGCTGGTGGTACTGTGGTGTCGGATCCCAAGATGATGATGATGCTGTTGCAGGTGATGGCGATGATGATAGTAGTTAAACTGCTGTTGCTGCTGCTGCTGCTGCTGCTGTTGCTGCTGAACCAGGTTCTCCTTCTGACTGTCGTCCGATTGTACTCCCGGACTGGCCGCCGGATCCGGTGGATTGGTGGCACCGCCACCGATAGCTCCAGCACCGCCAGCGGCACTGCTCGGGTGCAGATACCGATGATGGTGATGTGAGGACCGGGACGATTGCTCCTTCGATTCCGCTGACTGATTGTTAAAGCAAAAGGGGGATTAATTCGAGGCTTCAATCTTCACAGAGAGGGAGACACTTACCGTTGTACTGTCCAGTGAGAGGGTGTCCGGTGTCGTCGAGGACATGGTGCTCTTGCGCTGTGCCGTTCTTCGAATCTTTCTATTGGCCGCCTGTACGATCTGAGTCACAAAGTGTGAGCTACTCTCCTTGGATGATTCTTTGAAGGCTACTTCCGGAAAAAAAAGATTGTCAGGATCTTAAATAGCAAATGATTCCAAGCAAGGCACTTACGTTCAATTTTAGAAACATTATCCAGCAACAGCGACGCTGACGGTACGTCCAAGCCGGAATCAACGGTGGTCGTTGATTGTTTCTCCGCCACACTCGGCAATAGATCGTCTTCGAAGAAGTAGGTATACTGGAAGAGTTCAAAATTCAATTAAATCAGTTTCAAAAATTGGTTCGATAAACAGCCACTCACATGATTAATGAGCACCTCGACGATCTGGCACTGGTGTTTCATGTCTTTGACGGCGGTTTCCAGCGACTCGTTGGCGGATCGAACCACCGACGGTCCGAACACGATGGCCAGGTTGCGCGGATCCATCAGGTTCACGTTGGCGTGCGTCGAAACGATGTTCAGGTGCCGCATCAGATGGCGCATCGTTTCGTAGTTGTACACCGGGATTCGCATCAGCAGCTGCTTCAGCTCGATCAGTCTTGGCTGGCCGGTCAGTTTGTCGGCATTGATAAAGCTATGGTACATTTCGTTCGGAAGCAGCGGTTCCGGCAGGTTCCGGATGAAGGACTTGAGCAGGGACGACACCACGTTGACGTCGTCCCATTTCGGGTCCCGGAGGGTGACTTCGTCCATGCCTCGGTTGACCTGTTCGGTCAGTTGAGATATGGCAGCCGTGTTGCCCGGTATCCGGTAGATTCCGATCACTCCGAGCCCTTTGGATTCAACTATGTTGGTGCACTTGGCTAGGAGCAGCGGGACGTAGGGGTTCTCGTCCGACGGGGGACACAGCTGTAGAATAACGTTGATGGAGGCTCCGTCCGGTAGGAGCATATCCGCATTTTGGGCACCCGGTGAACCGGGTTGTCCTTGCATTTTTCGGAACTGCCGAGCCACGATACCCTTCCAGGTTTTGGATTTGGGCGACCCGGTTTCCTTATCGCTGCTCTCCTTTCCGCTGTGGGATTGGCCGCTGCTGGCAACAGCGGCCGGGGCCAGCGAGGCAGCCGAACTCTGCTGGGGAGTCTTCCGGCTCTTGGTGACCGGCGACTGACCCGAGGGCGATCGAGACCCTAGGGCATACTTACGGTGGGATTTCGTCGATAGAACCGGCGAAAATTCGTCGTTACTCGTCGATTGCACACTGGTCAGGGCGGCCACCCGTTGCGGTTCGGCCTGTTGACCGCCGAAGTTGTTGATGTAGTCCTGTGAGAGCAAAAACAAAAGAGAACAATCAATCACCAGAACCAACGCACCACTACGCGAATTACGAAACAAACAATCGTTTTGTGCACAGAATCAACCACAATTCGCCCAATTTCGTGCTGTATTCGATTCTGCTCGTGGCCAGCGTCGACGAAATGCCGTGGACTGCCGTAGGCGCCATCCCACTGGTAGTAGTCCTCGATGATCGGTGCCGTGAGAATCAAATCCATCCAAGTTCACTGTGCGCATTGCACTTGCACTACAAATTTTGTATTTACTCGCCTCGCGCAGTCTCAGCCAGGTATTGACGTCGTAGTAGGCGAATAGGAATGTATACGGGAAAATACGGAGGCCTACTTTGTTATCAGCGCAAGCGCCACACACAAACACACGCACTCTGACGGTTAGATGGTCTTGATTTAATTGTTATTTTCGGCACTTGACGCGGCGGTTTGTTATCAGAGATGGCAAGAGCTTGAAGCTCCACTGCTATCGGATGCGATACTTTTCTTTTTTGCAACAAGATAAAGCTGTTTATCTCTCTCCTCGTTTTATGTGTTGTCGTCTACTGGACACTAAGCGTGAAACTTTTCTTGGTATTTTTTTGAGTAGCTTGATAAACATCCCACTACCATCCGTCTGTCACGTCGACCGCATAGGTGTGAATTGGCAGTGATAACAAACCGCGAAACGTGAGTGATGGATCGAATCGAATCTGCTCTCGTCGTACATGGTCGATTTCCCAAAATTGACGGCGCCTACCTTGATCTGAAAACCCATCCCACCCGGAAGCGGAAAGCGCAATACTCACACTACTGTTCAGGTACTGACTACTGCGACAGACGGTCCGCAGCGAATCCATCCACAGGCGCATATCATTGTGGGAGTCGGCCTGAAGCAGCAGTTCCCTCTCGTAGCCTTTGTACACCGAAGAGGATCCCCCGGAGGAAGACGCCGACGCCGACGAGGCCAAACCGCTCGACTGTGTGTGGTGAACCGCCAGATGCTGGTGCGATTGGGCACTGGTCGGACCCGACACCTGCTGTTGTTGCTGTTGCAAGAGATGCTGCGGTTGATGCTGGTGATGGTAGGACACCGTCGTCAGCTTGAATACGTTCTTCCGCTTGGTGTAGTTACCCTCGGCCACGTGAAAGTTGGTGAGATCGATTATCCCGGACGGTTCGGGGCTCTGTGGAGTCAAAGAAAAAACAAAACATAATTGTTAAAACATTGAGATTTTAGAAAAAACCAGCACGATCAATGACGATAATAACCCAAGATCCGGTGGAGTTCCATCGTCGCAGGCGGAATTTCTTGAACCCGTGGGACACCTTGACCCAGTTGAAGAGACGGCCGCTCTGGGCGTGCCGGACCGCTGCATAATCCGGATCGTTGTAGTAGGAGAGCTTGCGCTCCAGACTTTGGTGGGCCATTTTCGCGTTTCGTTTTGGTACACTCGCAATCTTCGCACTTATCAAATTTTTTGGTTCCGTTTCTTGGAGGAGATCTCTGTTGCTGGTCGCAGAGATTACCTCTGGATTCTGTCCACGTAGATGTTCATGGTTGCCACTATCGGTTTCGACTGGACGGTTGCCATTTTCAAATGGGGGTTAGAAAATCTTTGTGTTCGTAAATACAGTTAACCCACCCTAGAATTCGATGGTCCCCCTTCAATATCGTTATGAAAAGCGGTCAGGTTTTGACAACTTATAACTCTGTCACTAGCGGATGGATTTTAATTCTAAACAATCCAATCGATTGGAAATTTTGCTACGAATCTGCTAAAATTAACATTTAATCAATTTTCAATACGTCGCTTTTGAAAATTGCACAACTGTCCAACCGTTGCAATGGTGATCAAAATTATCACCGATTGCCTGCGAAAAACGCTTTCCCTAACACAGATTTCAAAATCGAATTCCATCCGGTCTCGCTGAACGGTGCTTATTCAATCGCCGTGTGTGGTGAGTGGTGGTGTCCGGTCGGTCGTCATCAGCAGCAGCAGTGCTTTCGGTGCGTGGCGTTGTACATTTTTCTCCAGTACAATACGAAAGGCTGCCCGCAAGCAGCGAACTGCAGCCCACATGAGCGTCCATTCACCGAAGAAGGAGGAAGAAGCCGCACCGCTACTGATCGGATTCAGTAGCTCTTCGAGAGTTGCTGTGGTCCATCTATGCCAAGCGCGTCACCCTCGTTTCAAACAACATACAGCTCGCCAGCCTCATCTGTGTTGAACATCACGACAAAACGGTCCATTTCAGGGCCACCATAAATTTGTTTAAGAGCATTTTCTGGACATTTGTCAAGGTCATCAATCGGAAGTCAGTTCCCATAAGTTTAAATCTAATGCACCATGTATTTTTAAGACAATATTGGGGTGCAATTTCTGGTCTGATTTTGATCCAGAGATGATGGATTTTTATTCTTAATACACAAATCGATAGGAAATTTTTCTACGATTCTGTTAAAATTAAGACTTTATCAATTTTGAAAATTGCACGAACAACTGTTGCTATGATAATTAAAATTATCACCAATTGCTTGCGAAAAGCGCTTTCCCTAGCACAGATTTCAAAATCTAATTCCATCCGGTCTCACCGAACCGTGTTTATTCAATCACCGCTTGTGCTGAGTGTTGGTGTCCGGTCGTCACTAGAGGTGAGCACATCAGCTCATCTGAGTGAGCGGATCAGACCCGTCCAGCTCACAAAGGAGAGCCAATTCTTTGGAACAACTCTTCAGCTCACATTGAAATTATTGAAATTTTGACACAAAGTACCAACAGAGCTATAGAAGCTTATAACTACATAAAATCGTAAAATTAGCCTAAAACAAAAAAATCCCTATCTTACAACAGGCTCTTCTTTTCAATTGATTACGCAACAACTGAATAACCACAGCGTAAACCAAAATGCGCGCCAATTGAGCCAACAACATATCAGTAAAAGCAATTCAGTCTATATTGATGTTAATTCTCCAGCAGAAATTCTCTCAATATTCTCGACTTCAGTTCCAGAGAAAAAAAAAGATCCGAAGAGCAAGGCGGGTCCAAGTGCAGGACGGATCCAAAGAGCTGGACGGGTCCGAGAGCTGGTATCCTAAACAGCTCCCACTGAAGCATTCGGGTGGTGAAGTGAAGTGGAGAGCTGCATTTTGCTTTTCGGTTATTTTCTTTTGTGCGGATCTTCCGCTCTCCTAGGGAATGATGGGAGGAGAAGTGAGAGTAAATATGCTAGAGCAATACCATCAGCAATAAGAGCCGGGTAAATCAATCATTCACTTGGAATTTTCCTTTACCATTGATCCTATCAATTAGTAGGCACATGTTGTATTACGTATGCTTCGCTATAAGTGACGGATTGCTACGGATGAGCTACGGTTCCTAAAAAATGAACCGCGGGTCATCAGTTCACTTTAGTGAATCGGGTCTTTAGAACAGCTCAGGAGCGGATCGTCCATCTCTAGTCGTCACCATAAGCAGCACCAGTCCAACGGACTTGGAATAGTTCAGAGAATTACGCACAAGCTCAAGAAATGTGCGTGGAATTTCGTGAAAAATCAACGAGTAACAGTAGAAGTGCAGATAACTTTGTAGAAGCTTTGCGAATTCCGCAGCATTTTGAGGAGATGCGTAAAACTTCATGGAAGTGCAGGGAATTTTGTAGAAGATCTACAAATAGTGCAGCAAACTTCTAAGAACTTCAGGGATCCTCCCTTCAGTTTAGTGAACTTCATAGCAGTTTGTCAGAGATCTTACTTCAAAAAAGCTCAGTGAACTTCTTGAAAGCTTTAGTAACTTCGTTAAACTTCAAGGAACTTCCCAAGATGTTTTTGAATTCGGAAGATGATCTACAAATAGTTCAACGAACTTCTAAAAATTCCAGGGATCCTCGCTTCAGTTAAGTGAACTTCGTAGCGGTTTGTCAGAGATCTTACTTCACAAAAGCTCAATGAACTTCTTGAAAGCTTTGGGAACTTCGTTAAATTTCACGGAACTTCCCAAGATGTTTTTGAATTCGGAAGATGATCTACAAATAGTTCAGCAAACTTCTAAAAATTCCAGGGATCCTCGCTTCAGTTAAGTGAACTTCGTAGCAGTTTGTCAGAGCTCTTACTTCAAAAAAGCTCAGTGAACTTCTTGGAATCTTTGGGAGGTTCGTTAAATTTCAAGGAACCCTCCAAGATGTTCAAGAATTCGGTAGATGATTTACAAATAATTAAGCACACTTGTAAGATCTTTAGGGATCCTCGCTTCAGTTTAATGAACGTCCTGGCTGTTTGTCAGAGATCTTACTTCAAAAACAGCTCAGAGAACTTCTTGAAAGCTTTGGGAACTTCGTTAAATTTCACGGAACTTTCCAAGATGATTTTGAATTCGGAAGATGATCTACAAATAGTTCAGCAAACTTCTAAGAACTTTAGGGATCCTCCCTTCAGTTTAGTGAACTTCATGGCAGTTTGTCAGAGCTCTTACTTCAAAAAAGCTCAATGAACTTCTTGGAATCTTTGGGAGGTTCGTTAAATTTCAAGGAACCCTCCAAGATGTTCAAGAATTCGGTAGATGATTTACAAATAGTTCAGCACACTTGTAAGGACTTTAGGGATCTCGCTTCAGTTTAATGAACTTCCTGGCTGTTTGTCAGAGATCTTACTTCAAAAAAGCTCAGAGAACTTCTTGAAAGCTTTGGTAACTTCGTTAAATTTCAAGGAACTTCCCAAGATTTTCAAGAATTTGGTGGATGATCTACAAATAGTGCAGCAAACTTCTAAGAACTTCAGGGATCCTTCCTTCAGTTTAGTGAACTTCATAGCAGTTTGTCAGAGCTCTTACTTCAAAAAAGCTTAGTGAACTTCTTGAAAGCTTTGGAAACTTCGTTAAACTTCAAGGAACTTCCCAAGATGTTGAAGATTTTGGTAAATGATCTACAAATAGTTCAGCAAATTTATAAGAATTTCAGGAACCTCGCTTCAGTTTAATGAACTTCCTGGCTGTTTGTCAGAGATCTTACTTCACAAAAGCTCAATAAACTTCTTGAAAGCTTTGGGAACTTCGTTAAATTTCACGGAACTTCCCAAGATGTTTTTGAATTCGGAAGATGATCTACAAATAGTTCAGCAAACTTCTAAAAATTCCAGGGATCCTCGCTTCAGTTAAGTGAACTTCGTAGCGGTTTGTCATAGTTCTTACTTCAAAAAAGCTCAATGAACTTCTTGGAATCTTTGGGAGGTTCGTTAAATTTCAAGGAACCCTCCAAGATGTTCAAGAATTCGGTAGATGATTTACAAATAGTTCAGCACACTTGTAAGGACTTTAGGGATCTCGCTTCAGTTTAATGAACTTCCTGGCTGTTTGTCAGAGATCTTACTTCAAAAAAGCTCAGAGAACTTCTTGAAAGCTTTGGTAGCTTCGTTAAATTTCAAGGAACTTCCCAAGATTTTCAAGAATTTGGTGGATGATCTACAAATAGTGCAGCAAATTTCTAAGAACTTCAGAGATCCTCCCTTCAGTTTAGTGAACTTCATAGCAGTTTGTCAGAGCTCTTACTTCAGAAAAGCTCAGTGAACTTCTTGAAAGCTTTGGAAACTTCGTTAAACTTCAAGGAACATCCCAAGATGTTCAAGATTTTGGTAAATGATCTACAAATAGTTAAGCAAATTTATAAGAATTTCAGGAACCTCGCTTCAGTTTCATGAACTTCCTGGCTGTTTGTCAGAGATCTTACTTCACAAAAGCTCAATGAACTTCTTGAAAGCTTTGGGAACTTCGTTAAATTTCACGGAACTTCCCAAAATGTTTTTGAATTCGGAAGATGATCTACAAATAGTTCAGCAAACTTCCAAAAATTCCAGGGATCCTCGCTTTAGTTAAGTGAACTTCGTAGCGGTTTGTCATAGCTCTTACTTCAAAAAAGCTCAATGAACTTCTTGGAATCTTTGGGAGGTTCGTTAAATTTCAAGGAACCCTCCAAGATGTTCAAGAATTCAGTAGATGATTTACAAATAGTTCAGCACACTTGTAAGAACTTTAGGGATCTCGCTTCAGTTTAATGAACTTCATAGCAGTTTGTCAGAGCTCTTACTTCAAAAAAGCTTAGTGAACTTCTTGAAAGCTTTGGAAACTTCGTTAAACTTCAAGGAACTTCCCAAGATGTTCAAGATTTTGGTAAATGATCTACAAATAGTTCAGCA